CCCCCCACCCTATGATGGGGGGGGGGGCTCTGCTTCAAGTCTCTAGAAGCACTTTTTGCCCCACAAAGCTGTTCTCTGATTTCTTTCTGTAATGTTACTGCTCTTTTAAAGTTATTGGCCTCCTCTCTAGCAGTGAACCCCTCCCTTCTTAAGAAGAACAGAGTTCCCAGCCTGACAACATTCAAACAAGCCACAGTTTAAATCAAGCTGGCTGATGCTATGAAGTTTCTGTCCTATGAACAATTTTATCCCAAAATGTGATGAATTGCCTAACACTTCTTTTCAGAATTTCTTGAAACATTTTGATCGGCCCAAGGCAAATATTTTCTTTCAAGAAACACAAAAAGGTCAAAATCATTTTGCATAAACTAAATGTCAACATGAGGTCATTTCCAAATGGGATGCGTTAGCATTTAAAAAAGGGAGAAGCTTTAAAAAAAGTTGAAATTGATACAATTAAGTAAAAAACAAAAATCAGGTTTGCCAAAACAGAATTTTCCAATGAAGCCTTTTCAGCCAGCAATATCTAAAAGCATTCATGTAACACACGACATATTCCGTTGTGGTCAATACATGGTGCTGTAGAATAGGGCAGTCCAAATAGCAGCCTGCAGGTTGCATGTGGCTCATGGGTGCTTAAACTGCAGCCTGTGAGTGGTTAAAATGCATGGCCCTAAAACCGAGAGAGAGAATGCCACTGCTGCTCCCCACCCCCCACCTTTGCCTGAAGCCAAATAATCTTCAGCTACTGTTGACCGTCCACCTGAACAGCGGAGGAAAACGGGAGGTGAGCGGCAGTGTTCTCCCCCTGGGGTCCAAAGCCACATCAGTACAGCAGCTGTGGCACCTGCACCAATAAGCCAACCCACCTCCAGCAGTAGGGTGGCATCTGGCCTGCAAGAAGTCCCAATGTCTGGATCCAGCCTGCAGGACTGAGTGAGTTGGACATCCCTGCTGTAGAATGCAACTCAAGTTAGTGGGACGGCTAAAGGGTATGTCTACGCTGCGCCCCCTCAGATCTCAAGAGCGGCCAAGGGAGGATGCTCCCCGAACAGCTTCACTTCTGCATTCCAGGTTTGGTTGCAAGTAGGAACAGGTGAGTAGAGCATGATTAGGCCCACCTCCCCTTACGACACACTGGGGATACCATGCAGACATACCCAAAGAAGCCAGAAATATCGGAGGCCCTGGACCATGCCATTACTGTTTCTATTCCACAGTGGTTCCTCTCATTCTTATATTAGTCCCTCAGCCATTGCTGAGGTCTTGAGAGAGAGATTTTTAAATATTTCCTGAGGATGCCTGTTCATTTTTATTTGATCTGTAACTTAACAGTAACCGCTCTAATTTAACACTAACAAATTCCTGCTGGTCAAATGGAGGACTGCTTACAACAGACCTCATTAGGAATTGGATGTTGCTAGGCTTTTGGCATACAAGGGTCCTTAGCCCATTGCAGGTGATGCTCAGCATTTCATGGGATCGGGACTCCAGGAGAATAGAGCCAACTGTCTCTACCCCAGGGACCTGAAGCCACTTTCCCATTCATCTCCATACAGAGCTGATGGTTCTGCCTGCAACCTGCTTGGATAAGCGTGTTCTGAAGTCAGGTAAAGAAAGCCTTTATCTAGAAACTAATTTTTCCATTCAGAAGTGGAAGTGCCTCATGCCCCAAGTCTCAGATTATGAGCTGGCCTCTGCATCCAGGATAAGCCTCTTTAGTGCAACACCATTTCCCTCTTAAGACATGACAAGACTCCAGTCACTGCAAAGACTACAGATCATGAAGACATACTCCCACGCTGCCTGGCCTGAAGCATAGTCATGATGGCACAGAGCTCAGCTTAAATACCTGAATACCACCCCCACACCCCACACACAGGCACACCTGTCTCTCACCTACTGACTACCTCAATTTACATTTTAACTGATGGGCTTTCTTGCATATGTACTGGCCTCTGGCTGCTTTACCACGCTATCCAGGATGCAGATGCTTCCTCAGCCTGATGAAGGGTTGTTAAGAAGAATTTTTTCAACTATTTGAGTTGGTCTAATAAAAGATAATCAGATTTACCCAAAGAACCTTGCCTGCCTGTGTCCTTGGACCAACACGGTTACAACCTACACCCCTGAATATTTTCCTAAATGCTCACGCAGGTTTTGCAGCCTGTGCTGGACTCCCTGCTACCATGGCAACATTTGCTAAAAGTATCTGGCATAGCTAGGGCAAAGTTAGCTGGATCATGCCCTCACAAACTTCAGTCACTGCAGTGTAGTCATACAATTAGTGAGGCGCCACGGCCCATCATGGGGGAGCACAGCCTGACCGAGGAATCCAGTCTGTAAGACATTCTGGGGCATAAGACACCACCGTAGCATTTCCACCTGGAAATGTTTGGCTTTCATTTTCTTTTTGGAACAAAAAGAAAATAAAAATTATATCCAGAAAAGCACACTTTCAATCGTCTCACTAAAAACTTAGTTCTCCATCAAGTCCAGGTTTTACAGAAAACTCTTAATCGGACAGAGTTCATTACACAAAGCGTTGTTCAACTGCTGCAGCTTCACTAACAGTGCCTGCCATCTCCCTCTCTATTGTCAGCACTTCTAAGCTGTCAGGGTTAGAATAATTGCCAAGTGAGGAGTGGATTCCCCCTGCCTGGTTGCCTTCCTCGTGTTCCCAGCCAGCATGCCTGTTCCCTCAGCTCCAGCAGGATCCTGACTGGCCAACCCTGCCGTGGACAATACTGAGCCCCCTCCAGCACTGGCCTTCCCTGCTCTAGCTCTGGTTTCAGCAGTGGGGAGAGGGCAGAGCAGTGGTCAGACACTCGCTGGTGTGGGGAGGCGTGTTTGGGGAGATATCACCTCCTCTTTTTGCCCCAGGAAGTGTCAAGTTGCCAAGAAAACAACCAGTTTTCAGTGGAAAAAAACCCAGGCAAATCTCCCTCAGCACCAGCAAACTTTGAGTCGCTGCCATTTCTCTCCCTCCCCACTGCCAGAGCTGGAGCTAGAGCCACAGAAGGGAAGGCACAGGTGCAGAGCCGATGGGATGATGAGGTGCCCCCCAGCTCCATTCTGGCACCCCGCTACTACCCGGGCAGTACCTGGGGCTTGTGCCCCACTTGTCCACCCATTGCTATATTACTGACTACATCACTCACTAATATCGAGTCAGGTAAGTTTAATTTTTTTCTGGAAGGGCTGGGAAGCAGAAATAATATTGAGCTCATAAAGAGCATCTTTTGAAAAGAATGGCTGAGCAATGGGGTTCTCTTACTAGAGCCCTAGAGGTGCAAGCTTCAGCCTTCTCTCGACTTGTGCTAGAGACCACTCCAGTCAATCCATCTATGAACACATATCTTGCCGTTTGGGAATTCTGTGAATAGGTACCTCGCCACATGGGCTGGACACAAATGCTAGCCACATCATGCCCTTGTATGCTCTTGGTTCCAGAAGCCAGCACAACTTAATTATGACAGGCCGATGGGCTTGCTAGGATAAGGCAGATTATGAGCGATTGAGAAAACACTTTTTACCCATGGAACTCAAAGCATCAGCACTAAGGTGGGGGAAGGTGGGGGTTAATAGCACTAGCCTACTTTTACAGATGGGGAAATAGATGCTCAGAATTTTTCCTAAAGTATACAGAAAATCAGTTACAGAACCAGGAATAAAACCAAATCCTAGTCCACCACATGACTCCCTACACCACCTTGCTAGCACAGGCAAATTAATGGATGGGCCAGCTGAGCACAAGCCCAGGGCCCTCTACCAGTTCAGGGCCCCAGGATCCTCATCACCAGGGAAGTGAAAGCCAGTTTTAAACTTGGTGCCCATTTTTGTCTCCCAGCAGGGAGACAAAAATGGTGCCAAGTTTAAAACCACAGCATTTGCTTTTGCTTCCCTGAGAGCTAGAAGTGGGGCCCCTCCACCAATGGGGCTGGAGAAGGCAGGGCTGGGGATGAGCTGGGAGAACCGTGCCACGCCTAGGTGAGGGAAGGGCATGGGAGGTGGGCAGGCTGGGTGGCGCTCTACCTGGGGAGGGAGGGGGCACAAGCTGGGCTGAGAGAGCCATGCCCAACCTGGCTGGGGGGTGGGGGGTGGTTGGGGCTGGGCAGGGCTGGGCCGGGAGCACCACGCTGCACTGTGCCTTTGCAGACAGTGGCGCTGGGAAGGCCTTTGGGGCTATAGCCCCCCCAAATTCATCTTAGGCCCCCTGCAGCCACCCCTCCCAGTGCTGCTGTCTGCCCACGGAGACATGGCTTGGCGCTCCCAGCCTGGCCCTCTGCTATCTGCATGGGTGCATGGGACAGCTGGGGAGCAGATCCCTGCAGATAAGTGTAATAGGGGCCGGGCAGGGAGCGAGACACGTGGCTCACAGTGTGGGGATGGGAATGGGGGAGGACTGCCTCTGTGTGATCGAGAGTGAAGGTGGGGAGGCTGTGAGTGGAAAGAGTGTGTGTGTGTCTGTCTGTACAGGCGTGTGCATCTGTGCATGTGTGTGTTCATGGCAGGGAGAGTGTTTGTGTCTGTATCCATGTGCAGAGAGCAAGAGTAGAGTGCACGTGCCTGTGCCTGTGCGCACATTTGGTCATAGTGGAGGTGGGGAGCAGAGAGAAGAGGTGGGCATGTGCCCTCCCAGCCCAGCAGGGTCCATCCAGCCTCTCCCACCAGCACTAGGCAGGGAAGGGCCCCCCCCCTGCAGTCTAGTTCCCATGGGGGCATGAGGGCTCTAATTCTGTGTTTGCTGTGTACCCCTTAATCCCCCTCTGCTTGCTAACCCAGCCTTTGATGGAGTGTTACTTCCTCCTTCCATTTCCCTTCTCTTCCCATTCTCCCTTGCTCTAAATCTGACCCCATGAAACTCATTTGTCTCAAGTTACCAAAGCAAGCCCATTGCACCAAATGTAAAAATTCATGGAGGGACCTACCAGTCCACCTGGATTTCTACATCTCTTGTGTCTGTCTTGGAGGGCGCCTCTCCATTGAGTTCCTTACTGCTGCTCTTCAGGAGGTCCAGGACTGGCTCTATTTCTTTCAGCAGTTTATTGTTTTCAATCCCACCATTCAGGCAAGGATTGGCACTGGCATCATGCTTTCCAGTCAAAGAGTCCTCACCTTTGGTGCTGGCAACCACACCATTGAGGTGCACAGGCTCTGTTTCTTGTCTGCTCTCTCTGGCCCAGGTTGAACTAATGGAGCCCATGGTGTGGTCTGTTCCTTGCTGCTGCTCTTTGCTGTGTATGCTTGGAGTGGACAAGTCAACTGCCTTTGCACTTGGGCACAGGGGTCTAGTTACTCTAATGGTTTTTGGTGTTCCATCACCAGTAAAGGTGGTCTCCAGGTGAGTGGTGAAGCCCTCAGGGCCCCTCAAAATGAGAACCACATAGGTCTCAGAGGCTATGCTCCTCAGGATCTCCAGGGCACTCTCATAGTTCATGTCCACCAGGGGCCTGCCATTGACAGCCAGGATAATGTCCCCTGCCTGGATGAGGCCACTTTGCTCAGCTGCCCCTCCCCGGATTAGATCAGAGATGATCACAGGCGGCTTGCTGACACGCTCCTTCACCAGAAATCCAAGGCCCCCAACCTTGCGCTTGAACAGTCTCACTGAAATGACGTTGGGCTGTATCTGCTGCACACTGAATACATTCTCTTCCATTGTAGCCTTGGATCTTCTAGCCCAGGGCACAAGACCTTGAGACCAAACAAGAAGTAACTAGCCCACTGTAGCACAGAGATCAGCAGTTGAGAATAGATCACTGTTTCTCTCTGCTTGTGTTCTGGGCCAGGGAGGGGGCACTCTTTGCCTTTTGAACAATTTGCCTCGTAAACTTCTGTGGAGCATCAGTCATTACGCATCATTTCCAACTCTGTCTCCTGTAGCATAAGTTCATATATTTATTCATCCGTTCCTCACTCTTCTCTCTCTCTCTTATGTAATATAATGGAGCTAGAAGCCCAGGTAGCCTTCAATGGGAAAGCAAGAGCATGTCACAAACAGAAGGCTGGGCTGGAGGGAAGAGGCAGGGAACTAAGCATCTCTCAGCTGAACAGAAGCTCGGGGATAAACACTAGAGGGCCGATGTCGCAGCCTCCAACCATCTCTTGACCTTATGCTTTGGACTTGGTTCACTTCACAGACATCCCCACAGCTTAGTTTTTAGGTTTGGAATAGGCCTGGAGCTTCTTTATCTGTAAAGGAGAAGAAAGAGAAAAAATGATGTTGCACAGAGCTCTGTACAGGCCCCATAAAGAGGTCTGCAAGTTGCAGACACTGAAATACATTAAATATGAAGCATGCCACACAGATATCATTCCCAAGAATGTTTCAGAAGCAGGCTGTAGCCTGCAGTGGGGCTGATTCCATACTATTCATACTTCAGTTTATATATGGATACTAAGCAAAATAGAGGAGAGTAACCCCAACTAACAGACATTTCTGTGACAGTGTTCTGACACTGCAGTATCCAACATTTGGTGCAAATGAGATTTATGGTCAAGTCCTTTGCTGGCTCAGATTAGCATTGGTACAGTGAACTCAATGGCACCATGTTGACTTATATAAGATGACACCCCACATTCTAAAAAGTATCTTCAAGAGCCAAAGTATCCCTGGCAGAGATGGCTGATTAGCGACCAGGAAGGGAGATAAATCCCACTAAGGGTAAGGGCATGTTCCCCATCCCCATCCCACCCCGCATCTTGCTTTGGAACTGAATACCAAGTTGGAAAGGATGTTTCAAAAGAAACAATGAAAGTCATAAACAAAAATCAAATGATAAGGACCCACACTGGGTGGGAGCAGTTCTATACAGCTACCTCGAGTAACACCTTGCCTCAAACAGTCCCACAGAAGTCAGTGGAGCTACTTTAGAGCAAACCAGAGTTAGGGTGTTGTATCTTGTTCCTGATCCATTCCCTCCTGTGACTGAGACAAATCCAAAGTGTTCTTGCAGTAGGGCACTAACTTGAAGGAGACAAGCTGAGGAACTGCCCTCTCACTGCCCCTGAAATTCAAACCCTGTAGAACAATTGCAAAAATAAACTGCTTCAACTTACGGTGAGTGGGCTCATGCAGTATTCCTGTGTGCCCAGAGAAACACTCTCTTGAACACATCTTGCTCTCGCACTACCCTTGAGAGCAGCCAAGAAGAGTTGTCCTTGGAGGGGCATGCCAGGCCTCAGCTGGAGCAGGTGGGAGAAGTACGCTGGGGAGATCCCACCAGGGGCCAAGTAGAGATGCATGCAAATTATCTAGGTAATGTTTTCTAAAGCACCCAAAGTCCCACTGCCTGCAAGTGGGAATTAGGTTCTTAAGTACCAAAGTTTGTTTTGACAAAAGAATGGCAGTAGTTTAGTCACTTAGCGGCTTTAGAAAATATTATCCTCCAGTGCCACATTCCAATCCATAGTTACTTTGTTGCAACTAAAACCTGACTTTCAGAGGGACAATTTAGAGCAGGATCAACAGCCTAACATTTGGCCTGTTGTTCATGCTTCACTGAGTCTGCAGAATGGAGGCATTTATCATCTAAAGAAAATGGTCTCCTATCCCCCAAACTGTGCATGTTCTGAGCACTTGTACATGCTGCATTCTCACTCAGCAGTTCTTCTTCCGAGCGTATAAGGAAAAGAGCAGGACACCAGCCAAACAGCAGCATGGTGGCTGGGTTCAGGCAACTTGTGCGCTTCTAACATGGAAAGCAGCATTTGCAGTTGGAATTGCCTATATGCTGTAGGCAGGGGCAGGATCCCTCACACTCTAGATAAAGAAGGTGAATGGCTCTATAACCATGGGGGAAATGAGCACAGCACAGGGAAAACTAGTGTCATGAGAGTGACACCACACTGAGGCATCCTGGAGAGAGCAGGGCCCCAGCACAGTGCTCAAGAGACCAGGTGTCCCTGGGAGCAGAGTCCCACTGCACCATGAACCAGAAGCTTTCCTGCACGGGAACAACACTGAGAGAAGGCAGCAAACCCTTCCCTCTGTCCCCAAAATTCAATAAGTAGTGGATCAGGCACTCAGCACTGTCACTTTCTCCTCTTGCTATATAAAGGACACTGACCCAAGGCAAACTGTCTACAAGGCTGAGTAATTTGTAGTTCCACCCAGACAGATGAAAAGGCAAAATGAAAGCATTGGCTACGACAGCATCAAGGGCCTCCTTAGCAGAACTTGCACTGTACAAGAGTGGCTTTAAGTCCCCCTACTCTGCTGTGCAGCTCCAGTTCACACTGCAGTGATGTGCAAAACGTTAAAGCTGTGTGCATTTCACATCCCGACAATGGGCAGGTTAGGGCAATTTCTCTGGTAGATACCCCATTTCCAAATGCTGCTAGAGTCAGACCCCGATCCAAAAGTTTCTCAAAACATTTCCAAAGAGCCAGTATATCTCACATTTCAAATGAGCCAACATGTACAACAGGTATATTTGGGGGGGGGGGGCGGGGGGAAGAGAGGTTAATGGGGGGTTAATTCTTAGGGGAGAT